AAATTAAAGAATGTTTCTTGAGCTTATTTTTCACTCCACATCTGAAAATACCACTCAAAAACTATATTTCTTGAATTTGGGGGAAAAAAAGTTGTGATTATTCTTTCCACAATGAAAATAAAATTTTCTATTGTCTAGAATAGGCTAAAACTGGATATGCTGTGAAGAAATAAATGCTTCTTAGTAATAAATCTTAAAATGATATCACACTATTAGTAATCTATATTGCTTCCTTTAAAATAGTTCTTACATCTGTCTAGAAAGGTGGCAAGAAATATACTGCAAAGGAAGCAAAAACAACAATATCCTTACTAAGAAATATAAACACTTTCAGTAAATTGCCAATTTTTACTTTACCAACAAGATAGGACTTTTTCTATTTGCAACTTACCCAAGCCTGTGAATGCTTAAACTGATTGTTTTTTCAAAAAAATGGTTCATTCGCTTTCTTAAATTATTTGTTTTTTTACCATAGACCTTCAGTAATTATATTTTGGAATTAAAATGGTTTTCTTTAACAACGTCCAGAGATCTATTCCAATCCAATAGCGAGTGTGAATAAGTCACCTTTATTTCAACCTCACTAGTAAATAAAACTTTCAATGCATTTAAACTGAATACAGTATTGATTTTACATAATTATTTTGAATAATATGGCCAGTTAAAAATCGTATTGATTTTACCTGCATGGTATACCTCCTTTAGAGTAAATAGCTGCAAAAGCAGAAGGCGCCCGTGATTGTTCAGCAAACTGAAATTAAAAAAATGAAAATATTGACGTCACCTCCACTTTATGATATCTAATCAATTTTAATCCTTCTTAGGTCAGATGCAAACAGCCACCCTGACTTTCAAACCACCACACTGGTGTCAAGTACATCATTCCTACTCAGCAACATGACTGAGAAAAAGTGTCCATCCTCTCAGTACTATTAATACCACAAACACCCTTTGTACATTTCCTTTCATCCCTAACTTGTTTCAGAAGCCTTGCAAGTGGCTGCAACCGTACACGGATTGATAGATCTTTCTACCCACTTCCCCACTGTGACCTTTCAAGGTGAGGGCTAAGTAGAGAAGAGATGTTAAGTACAGGGAAAATGGATTTTTTTCAGCCACTAGTACATCTCCTACTTGTCATCAAGCCAAATATGGATGGTATATATGGATGGTCAGAGAATCTATATAATTTCTCCAAACTGGCTTCATGCTTCTATGAAAAAACAAAGAATTGCATTGGGCAAGGATGAGAGAGTTGAAGATGGAGGATGATTCTCCAAACATATGCCTGGATGTGTCCTTTTTAGATTACATAACTTCATAATCTTTTGATTTTGCTATATATTTTATCTTAAGAATAGATTAATTCTACACCTACTGTCAAAGATGATTTAAGAGGTGGTCAATCATAACAATTAAGCCATCATAGCATAAATAATTTCAATGTAATTGATCAGCATAAATAATTTCAATGCAATTGATTTAAGCATTTAGGCACAAAAAGTAAATGTTTTATCACATGGTACTTTGAACATAATCAAATGAAACACAGTTGTCTAATTTACAAAATATTAATATAAATTTACTAAGGTATTTTAAAGATGTAACTAGCTAAATTTTTTTTTAATCACATGTAGTAGTTTTAAAATATATTTAGAGTATGTGTAAGTTTAGAATTAGCTTTTTCCCCTCTGGGAAAAACACACGTGTTTTGAGTAAAAGTACGTAAGTAAAAAATTCTTAAAATAATAAAAGATTCATTTACAAAGTTCAATCCATGCTACGTGTAAGAATTCATAGCAGTAGACATGTTTCATTCATCTAGTTATAATTTCTAAGAAAGATATATGTTTTAAAAATTACTTTCAAGTAATTATCACATCAAATGAGAAAGTTACTTTAAAAAGTGTTATTTGTATTGAGGGAAAAAACTAAAACAAATCAGTGCTATACTATTAACATATTCTATTGTGTTACCTACTAGCAAATGACCTTACCTTTTGGCTCTAGGAGCCATGTGAAAAATCCCTAAAGTTTCAAAAGACCCACACAGACAAAATTTCTGATTGAAATTCTAAGCAATTCCCTTCTTTGCCTTTCAGTTTTTTTCTAGAGATAATCAGTTTCATCTTCCAGGTCCCAAAGGATCAGGTTTTTTTCCCCTATAAATGGATTAACTCTATCAATTTTAACCAAATTTTACCAAAATTCTATTAATGTAAAAAAATTTGTTGTCTCATTCAATTTTAAGCATATCATCACAGATGATATTTCAATTCTGAAACAAGTTATCAACCACACTAAACTAAATTAGTAATTTTAAAAAATTTTGATTCAAGTGAAATATTTAAAATTTATTCACTTTTAAGTGCACAAACCATAAGCGAATGGTGAAAACACAAAAATGAACACACCTGTGTATTGACACTGAGGTGAAAAACCTGAAAGTTACCAGCACACTAGGAAGCCTCCACAGTGCCTCTTCCTAATCCCTACCCACCTTTTTCCCCAAAGGTAACCCTACCCTGACTTCCAGCTGATTTAATTTGTATCGGTAGCCTTTACATATCTTAGACATGCTTTTCTCAGGTAAAATCATTAAATTATTTCCCAAAACTGTCCTTAATTTTTAATTTTAAGACTTAAGACGAGGTCCACTAAACATTATTAACTGCAAAAGTTTTTCTTTAAAGAGAATTAGAAAAGTGAAGTAGCACCACCATACAATCCCTCAACTAAATATAAGACAAAAGTGACAGCAGAGAGATATCAGGGCCTTCTTCAGGTATTCAATCTCCTTGACACTGTGCTTCTTTATAGAAAGAAGCAAAGGAACACAGATGCTCAAACTATTTATCATTTTTCTTTTACAAAGTCAGACACTCTCTTCCTCCCCTCACATAGTTCACTAAACCCTTGGTTAAGTATCTGCCATATTCTACCTGCCATCAAAGTTAGTCAAGAGCCTCAGTCACTCTCAAAATCCCCTTCAACAGCTGAAACCACTATCATCTTACCCTACCAAGGGTGGGCATGGGCCAGGCAACGCCTAACAGTATTGCATAAGTGTGTTCACTTCTGGATAATTCACTAGCTACACACTTACAATTTACCCATTTTCATGTGCATAAATGTCACGTTTATTTAATCTGATTAAATTTTTGTGAGAGGGCAAACGGAGGCTAGTACTGCAGTTAAGGATTTCTGGTGGAGCTAATTTGTAGAACATAGAGGAATGGTCAGAGATGTTTATGCAACTATGGAAGCATGTAAATCATCCTATGCCAATGAAATACAAGCTTATTCATTTGATTATTAGGAAGTAAAACAACATGATAAATAAAAAGTAAAGCTGATATACAGTTTATTTTATGCACTACAATGCTGATCCACGAATATGTGATAGGACATATCCAGACTGGTTAACACCGTCTCACCTCCATGCTCACTCCTACATGCATGTGATTAGCTCGGATCTTCATCATGATTACCATATGTGCTTCCTTCATCAATAGCTCAAAACTAACAAAAAAAAAAGTCTCGAGACAGCATTCAAAATGGTTCAATAGTGTGCTAAATGCCTATTACTTTGAAAAAATCCACTGACTTAGAATTATTTTGGACCTACCGGGTTAATTGTTTTGGGGTTAAGTTTATCACTTGGTCGAGGACGAAGTTTTCTTGCAGACTCTGGAGAACTGGTTGATGAGGAGGATCTGCTTTGCTGGACTGTAGTCCTGTGTTTTATCTGTGCACCTGATGATGCCCTTTGATCACAGTTACCTGGACAAAACAGAACATCAACAAAAAAGGTAAAAGCAATAAATTTCATCCTGCATTCATCTTTAACAAACTTGGCCTCTTCTCTTAACAAAAAAAGCTCTGTACCTGTTACTCTGTTTCTCGACTGTGTACCTCCAGGGCACTCTGATTTCTGCATTGCTTCCCTTTTACTCCTGCAGTTAAATGAAACTTGATTTCAAAATTTGTTTGAAGGGGCATTCATTATCAATATAAAGCCCAAAACAGAACAGAGTAAAAGACACAAAAAAGTTATGGTATGGAGCAAAATACTTGAAAAGACTAATGAGAAGATATGAAATTATGTCAAATTCAATAATATCAATAACAGCAAAAAACCCACCTGCAAGAAAACAAGATGTATAAAAGTAAGTCTTTCTTCCATTCAAATTGTCAAAATATACTGTTAGAAACTCAACTGCAATCCTCTGGTCACATAGAAAAAACAGACTAGATTTCTTAAAGGGGTGGTTGGCACATTGTCTGTATTTTCAATGCTCCAAATGTTAACATCCTTCTACTTTTCCAGTGACATAATGAACTCTCCTGCCCAATGTACCACAAGCTCTTTAAATTGAACATAACTAAAACTGAGGTTGTCACACTGAAGTTATGAACCTCTTGTTAATTCAAGCTACTGCAAGTTTTCTGGTCCCCAGACTAAAAATCTTAGGATCATCCATTGTCTACCTTTCCTTCACTTCCTACACTCAACCCTACAGATGTGATGAACATGTGATGAAACAGAAAGAGCTTTGGGCTCAGATCTGGGTCTGTAACTCAGTCCTACCAACAACCAGGTTTATGAAGTTAGGCAGATTATTTAACTTCCCTAAGTATAGACTTACTGACCCGTTAAAAAGGGGAGAAAATAAAAGCCTATCAATGCTGTTCTGGAGGAGTAAATAAGAAGATAGATCCAGTTACTCATTCAGCAAATGTTGGCTCACTTTTACCTCTTGCACAGTTCCCTTTTCTGCTAATGGGAAGACTCTAGTTTATATCACAAGATTTCCTGCTTAAATCAATTTCTAAACTTACACACACACACACACTCACTCTCTCTCTCTCTCTCTCTCTCTCTCTCTCTCATACACCCAGATGCATATACCCAACTATTTGCTGGTATTTGTAGGTCTAACTCCATTTCCAACTTCCATACAGCCTTTCCTGATTTTCTCGGTTTCTCCGATGTACAGTTCTATGGCACTCTGATTTTTACACTGCTTCCCTCTTCTTTCTACTTGATTACTCTGTTCTCTCACTTCCATGACTCTAGTTATTATTCCACTAGCATACTTCTCACTTTATACCTTTAATACAGTAGTTATATACATGACTGCCCCTCAACTACAATGTAAGATACTCTCTTAAGACAACCATAGGTGAAGTCCTCTTCCACTTCCAAATGACAGCTTTTCAAATATTTGAGAACACTCTTAATTCCTTCATTTTGTCTTCTTGAGGATAAACACTGATACTTTCTTAAACAATTCCTCACGTGAGATCTGTTTGACAAATTAAAAATCTTTAAAAGGAAGACACAGCGCCACTTAATAAAATTTACCCAGATAGTGTTTCAAACATGATGTGCCATATCAAAGTCTGGTATTATGTAAAGGTAAACTTAAATGTAAGATTGTTTCTGCACAAAGAGTAATTTTAATTTCAATTTTCTTGATTTAATATATTGACCTTGTTTTCTCATCCCACTATAAGCACATGACTTACTTCCCAATATCACACTTCACCTTCATCCCCAAGATATTTTCTAGTACTATGTTAATTAAAATTTCATTATATTTGTCAGATATTCTAAAATATAAGCTAAGACAAGCTTTAAATATGTTAACCCACTATTGTACTTCTGTGACATTCCACAAAGATTTACTATTGTGCCTGGCCTCTGTTTTGAGAAGCTCCAGGAGCTTATACAAGTTTCTGTTGGAAAAAAACAAAAAATCCATGCATCAGTTATTCAATTGTATAATTGGGGACAATTACAGGAACTACTCTAAGTGTTGATGAAGACTAATAGGAATATATGTAAAATAATATCTATATAATGGTTGGCACATAGTAAGTGCTCTATGAGTTTTAGCTGTTATTTTCTTTACAATGGTACAAAGTGTTTTTTAGCATTAGTATTTCTAATAATAGTGTGGCCAATTTGATTAAATGTTTCCTTCTTTTCAAAAAACTTGGTTTAACGCCTTGGGCTAGATCAATTTGAAGATCAGTTTAAGTGCATAGTTAGCCATATCAAATCATGATGTACATTTTTCAACACTACCTACCAATTCTGCAAAAGTTTTTGATAGAATTCTACAGGCTTAATTACTATCTTTATGTCAAAAAGTTGTTCCTGTAGCATACCAATGGGAAGATGTGGCATTATATTTTCAATGTGTGCAAAAAGTCACTGAAACTCTTCATTTAAAAAATTTTTACATTTTACATTTTAAACATGGTAGAAAGTTGAGCTTCCAAAGTTCTTAAGTACACAGGGCAGTTTTTATGTGCAATGTTCATGTAATTTTCAGCAACACGCACAATGATGCAAATGTTGCTATGTCCACTTTCGAAATATCCTATGAGAGTTGTTTTTCCCAAAACAATTACTTTTTCATGTGTTAAAATTATTACTGTCTACCTTAAGGACAAATTATGGTCAGCCTTCTGATCTTTTGTTGGTGGTTTTTTATTATTTCAAAATATTACAGGGGTACAAATGTTTTTGGTAATATAGATCAGACTGACAGTTGGCCTTCTGTATCTACAAGTTCTGCATAGGTAGATTGAACTAACGGCGAATACTAAGAGAGCCAACTGAGGGAGTGTTCTGTGGATTTTGGTATCCACCTCGCCGGGAAGGCGGAAGCGGTGTGCTGGAACCAATTTCCCTCAGATATTAAGTGATGACTGTAACTGCGCTCAATTTTTAAAAATAATATCCACCTGGTAGCATACCACTGACAAGCCTGGCGCGTGAGTTACTTGTGAAAGAAAACGCTTAATTCATCTTACTCTTAACAACTCTTTTTGAGTGTTTTGTCATTAAATAACATGTGGAGGATGGTATTATGGGGAAGTTATGGGGAGAAGTGAAGCAGTAAAAAAAAAACTTGTTATAAATATTAGCAAGGTCATCCCTTATTCTTTTATAAAACAATGCAAAAATTTTAATTAGATACTAGAATCTATAAATCCACTTAACCTGAAACACCTAAATTATGTCACAATATCAGAGAGCAAATAAACCAAGCAGGGGCCCACTGTGAAACCTACACTTCTCCCTTGCGTGCTGTAGGTTATCTACGAGGTATTTTCGGCATCTGTATCAATCAATGCCAGGAGAGCACACTTTCTATCATTGTTCTGATGGCTCATACATCCTATTTCCACTTTTGAGACCACCGAACTAAAATGCCTGCTAAATTCTCAGGGGCAGAGACCACGTTTTTTCCTACTCTGACCCAGTGACTAGAAAGTTGCAAAAGTGTAATAGGCACCCTACTAAAGCCATGTTCTATTTCTAAAGCGCCTTCAAATTCTAAAGGACAGAGACAGAGCCCAAAAGCCACTTATCCCAATCCCTTTTTACTATAAAGTAAATCCAAAGGGCCAGTATTAAGGATCTTGAAAGCTACTTTCCATCTTCCCAGCCTCCCTACCTCCCCCACCATCCGCTACCAAATACCTAAGATCAGATCAGGGCCAGGGTGTTGTCAAAGTCAGAAAATGAGGAAAACACATAAAAAATAGATTTTAAAAATAATTTTAAAAAAACAACCAGAGGTTAAAAAAGAGGAGTAGGAGCAGGAGGCCAGCTTCGATTAAGACAAACGAAGGCTACGCTCGACCAAAGCCAGACCCCAGGAAAGGAGAAAGTCACTCGCGGCGCTCTGGGTCTCAAGGGTCCTTAGCAACGGGGTCCTGCGGCCCTAGCATGGGGCCTGCAAGGAAGCCATCTGGGCCGAGAGAGCGCGGACGAGATGCTCGCACCCGCGGTCCACAGGTCCCGGGACCCGTTCCTACCGCGCCTCTCTCTCGCCGCCATCCGCATACCAGCTGCCGCCCCTGGTGGGGCTTTGGCCCGGCGGTCGGTCAGCTAACATCCGCGGCTGCCGCCACCGGTTGTCGGACTTCCAGAAAATGAGGCTTCGCGCGGCTCGCGCCCCGGACCTGGCAGCGCCGCGCCGTGACGTCAGACGCGCGCTGCGTCTTCTAAGCCAATGGCAGGAAGTCGCCGAGTCTCTTGCGGAAGAGGGTTGCCCCGGCAACTAAGAGCCGGGAGTTCAAAGGGCAGTTCGCGAGCTGCAGGCGCGGTCTCTGTAACAAAGGAGCACCTGTTGGGGGATCTTGTCGCAAGGAGAGGTCAAGGGATCAGAGGCGATGACTGGCTCTCAGTCCCCTGCGCCTCAGCCTCTCTCCACTCCATGTGCTTAACTCTTAGGCTTCTCTCGCTCATTTACTACTCATGGTTCTTCAGCTCTCCTGCCCTAGATCCTCTGAGAGCTGAGGACTGTGAACTCCTGCCCCAGAGTCTTCAGGGCTAAGAGCCAAAGCCATCTGCCTGCCCAGCTGTGGAATGGCACTGTAGCTTCCTGTCCTATCAGGCCAATTCATAAACCCAGCTGTCGAAATGCGTTTCCTGCCGTATTTTACTAATCCATATGCATTGCATTCAACTCCATAATATAATCCGTATTTTTAATAATGAAAAGCAAGAGGTTTTGTCCTCCAGATCATTTTACTGTAGCTGGTGCTGCAGGAAAATTCGTGGCCCTTTGCAAGTCCACCAGCGACAATTAGGGTTGTCATAGTAAAAACTCCAAGCCCTTTAGACCTGTCCACGCATTCCTGTGTAGTATCCTCTTCGGTTGCCAACCCAAAAGCCTTAACTTTTTGTTCTGATAACAATTAACTATACAAGTGGCATTGTCCGAACACTCCAGGTCGTGTCATCCTTCTATGCTCCTGTAGCTCCATTCTTGCTACCTGACAACCACCCCAGAAGCATGTTCGTTAGGCTGTATCTTCAGAATAAGGACTGTATCTTCCATTTTATTTCTCCAGCTTCAAGCATAGTGTAGTGGGTATTCCAGAAACACTCTTTAAATAAATAAAATGAATGAATATAATGAATATGTTCTGTCTATATCTAATTTCTCTAATGTTCTGTGACCTTATGTACAAATCTATCTTAATTTTAAAATTTATTATGATATTTTTACCTATCTTCCCCACTAGACCGAAATTGTCTTCATTGTTTTTCTATCCCTAATGTCTAGCACGATGCACGCTTAACTAATGTTTTAAAAAAGAAAAAAGATCCCATATTTTATATCTTCCACTACTTTTACCCTATAATCTCTTCCCCACCCAGCTTCCTCAATATTTACTGTATATTCCTTAGCCCGAGCTTCATCAGTGTCAGATTCAGTAGCATTTAGCTCATGACTTTTTAGCCCCTCTGTCCTGGGCTGTAAGAATGATTGGTATCCAGTATTGCAGAGAAGTGGTGTGCGTATGTTCTGGAGTTAGGCTAAGGCTAACTGAAACTCACCTTCACTCCTCATCAGCTACGAGGCCTTGTACATGACAATTAATCACTCTAAGCCTCAACTTCTTCATCATCATAGGGTTCTTGTGAAGCTTAAATAAGAACACAGGTAAAGTACCTGATACATAGGAAGTACTCAATAAGCATTAGCTTGTACAATTATTCAGATGAAAGCAAATTAAAACTAACATGGAGGACACCGTAAGTGGCCAAGTCTCAACTATGTCTTGGTATTAGTATGAACCATGGATAATGGCACGGATTTTTCAGATCTTTATAATAACCACAATTACCTGTGTAAGCCTCTCCTAATCATAATTTAAACAGCTTTTTTTAACCTTTCTGTATTTGTTTCAGGAAATAAAAAAAAAAAAAAAACGGGCTCATTGACATGGCAACTTTATCAAGATAATCAGGCAAAAAATGGTGGATGCTATCTTGAATACGTTAGTTTGAGAAGCTTGTGGGGCATCCAGGTGACCAGCATGCAGTTGGGTATGCTGATCTAGAGGACAGGAAAGAGGTCTGGGTAGAACTATGGATTATAGAGCCATCAGCATATATAGACAGTAACCAGAGCCATGAGAATAAATAAAATCCTCCAGGGAAAGTGTACAGTGTGAGACACAGAACACTGATTGTGGACTTCTGCCTTCTAATCCTGTTCTGGTTTTAAGATTTAATTCTCTATTTGGGAGAGAAAGAAATGGGGGGGCAGGGAGGGTGGCCTATGTGTCTGGCAATGTGGTAAAACAACATTCCCCATTGTTTTTGGCACCAGGGACCAGTTTCATGGAAGACAATTTTTTCCTTTTGGGAAGTTGGAGTCAATGGTTTGGGCATGATTCAAGCACATTACATATATCGTGAATTTTATTTCTATTACATTGTATTATATAATGAAATAATTATACAATTCACCACAATGTAGAATTAGTGGGAGCCCTAAGCTTGTTTTCCCACAACTAGATGGTCCCATCCGGGGGTGATGGGCGACAGTGACTGTGGAGCTCAGGCATTGATTCCAGCGATGGGGAACAGAGTGGCTGTAAATACAGATGAAGCTTCACTAACTTGCCTGCCGCTTACCTCCTACTGTGTGGCCCGGTTCCTAACAGGCCAGGGACTGGTACCAGTCTGTGGCCTGGGGGTTGAGAACCACAGTGGTATAAGATTCTAAAAAGACAGACTGTGCCATGTATTTTCTGTTTTCTTCTACAAGTATACTCTCCACCCTTCACCCTGCCATCTGCTCTGAGAAGCTGATCAGTATGAATTACATCAGCAAATCTCCCATGCCCTCTGCTTTCTGTTTGGGTTTGCCTAATGGGAAACACTAATCAGAGATGAGAGAGCTAGAGGAGAGTGAAGTCAGAGTATTCATTCCTCTGCTGCCATCCTTAGGGGTTTCCCTAGGGCTGGTCATATCCATAAGTAAAGGTCACATTTCCTTTCCAATATGGTCTGAATATTTGTGTCCTAAAATTAATATGTTGAGATCCTAACCCCCAAAGTGATAGTATTAGGAGGTGGGGCCCTTGGGAGGTGACTAGGTCATAAGGTTGGAGCCCTCATGAATGGGATTAGTTCCCTATAAGAGAGGCCTGAAAGAGACCCCTCACCCCTTCCACCCTGTGAAGATGAAATAAGAAGGCACCATCTATGAATCGGAGGCAGGCCCTCGCCAGACACTAAATCTGTTGGCACCTTGATCTTAGTATCCCCACCCACTAGAACTGTGAGAAATAAATTTCTGATGTTTATAAGTCATCCAGTCTATGGTATTTTGTTATAGCAGCCCAAATGGACTAAGACACACTCTAAATGGCCAACTCCAAGACTAGGCATAAAATCTCAGGGACTGTTATCCCTGGATTACTATACTGTCTATGCGATTCCTCTATACATTCATAAATAGTCCCTTTGTAAATAAAATCTTCCCAAATTATTCTATTTTTAATATGTTGATATTAGTATGTAACATTATGAATTAGATAATAAATCCAATCAATGTTAAACACTCAAGATAATATTTTTCTTATTGTTTTGATTCACTTGTGAAAAATTTATTTGTCTATTTTTTTAATTTTTAAATTTTGTTTTCCGAATATTTTAAAGGAAATACTAGCAGTATTAATGGCTTGTCTTAACTGCCACAAAGAAAATACCTCCCCTTTTGTACAAATTATAGACCAAGCAATCATTCCTGATGACTATTCCCAAGTCCTATCACCAGGAAATGAGATACAAGACATTTTCTATGTAATTTCTAGTATACCCTGTCAGGAAATATTAGATGTCATCATTATAATGTCATTGAACATCCACTTACACATGGAAAAAATTAAGGAGTGGAAGTGACTCCTCAGGTGAAAGCAAATAAGATCAACATGGATGAGAATATAGGGTTGTCCAGTAGAAAAATAATACAAGTCAAAAATGAAATTTTAAATTGTCTAGTAAGCACATTTTTAAAAATAAAAAGAATCATGTGAAATTAATATTAATTATATATTTTTATTTAATGTAAATGTCTAAAATATTATCACATCAATATGCAATAAATATTAACATTATTAATGTGATATTTTAAATTCCTGTTCTCACGCTAAGTCTTCAAAATCTGGTGTGTGTTTTACACTTACGGTACATTTCAATTCACTCCAACTGCATTTTAAATGTTCAGTAACCACGTATGGCTAGTGGCTATTATATTGGAGAGCACAAACAGAGAGCTATGGCTGCAGATAGCTGGACAAATATAGAATGAAGTGACAACATGTATTAAATAATTACAGAGTACTGTCTGGCCTTGACCTTGGCTTTTAAAAGTCCAAAGTCAAGAATTGGGCTCTTTTTGTCAGTACCTTTTTATGATGACAACCCCTCCCCGAGACATCAAGTGTAAAATATTCCACCTGCAGTCTGCATGGAGGAGTATCATGGAGTAGCACTATAGTCTTGAGATAATTGAAAATCTGGAGCTGCTGCTTTTTTCCTAGCATTCTTCCTACTGATAGATAGAGCAAATCTTTCTGTTACCCAGAAATGTCAACAACGCTCCTCAAATAGTTTATGTGTAAGAGGCATGGTAAGAGTTTTATTATTCTGAATTTGGAGTGTGGCTTTGTCAAAGGAAACATTAAAAGAATTGTGAAAGATACAAGATCTGAGCAAAAGTTTAAGAATATAAATATAAGAAATGATTGCAGGCTTGGTTGGTTCAAAGTAATTATATTTAAAATCAACACAGCAACAAGTAACAATAATTATTAAAAACTCTAAAGTTTTCCAAAAATGAGCCTGTTTTTAAAATAGATTTAAGATGTGACATAAAAATCTTATTATCCAGGGAAAACACACAGAAGGCACAGAATAATTTTTGCTACTTAGTCTTAAAAACAGACTGTATATTCAAAATGCACATTTACGTACCCAGTAAGTGATTGCTAAATTAAATAATTAATAGTTTCATTGGGAAACAAAATAAAAACATTACTCACTATGGAATTATTTCTTGAAGCTAGTTGAGCAGAAGGCAGTTTCTGCCTTTCCATGGAGCAA